ACTATATGTCTGCCACATATATGCATATATAATTTAGAAAAGATTTTCTAAAATTACATTGATCTGTTTTTCTAAAGTTATATATAATTTATTATGCAATATTTTTTTAAAAACCCACACCAAAGGAGGGATGGGTTATTTTTCTTTTTTTTTTTCCTTTTTGTCTTTTTTACTGACCGGTAACGGGATCGCAACCTTCGGTGTCGCGCCCGTACCGGGGACCGGCAACGGGATCGCAACCCTCGGTGTTGCGCCTGTAATGCGCTCAGCCAGTGAATGGGAACCGGTCTCTACATGGGATCCAAACCCTCGGCGGGAGCACTGCCACACTCCCAAGCGGCGCACTCTCCAGTGTGCCACCGGGCCGGCCCGAGGGATGGGTTTTTTAAAAAAGATTGGTAAACCCTATTTAAATCAGTGTGTCTGATACCAGGATTATTTGGCCAGTATCAACAACAATCTCACTTCAAATTTCAGCTCTAACATTTCTACATGGTGAGCTATTTGATTCACTTAACACCTGTTGAAAACTTCCTAAGTGCCAGATCCTGTGAGGTACTGCGAAGGTTACAGGATGAAAAAGGCATGTTCCCTATTCACGAAGAATGTATGGTCTAGCAGAGGATTTTATAGCATGCAATCAACACATACCAGTGTGCATCTAAGAAAAAATATTACCAATATTTAAATTCCTAAGACTGAAGTTAGCAAGTCCTTTGATTTTTTTCCTTTGTAACATTTTATCTAGTTTCTTTCTTGGGATTTTGGAGTTTAGAAATAAATTTTTGGAAACTACACGTGGGTACACAGTCCTTAGGAGGCTCTGTCAGGGAGTATTATGGTGAATGTTGTTTGGTTAGACTGAAAAAGGAAAAAATATTGTGTGAGTGTGTATTTTTCTGAATTTTATTTTAACATTTACTTCTACATTTTTGTGGAGTACAGTATTGTTTCGATATATGCATATACTCCACAATGCTTCACTTAGGGTAGATAGCATAGTTTTGTACCCTTTAGTCCACAACGTGTGTGTGCTAATTCTGTGTGTGTGTGTGTGTGTCGGGGGTACACATTCACCCTATTAAATCTGGGGTTCTAGATGCATATGTAGAGCCTTCATAAATATTTATATATATATATGTCTTCCCCGCAGGATCAGCCTCCAACTTCAGCTTATTCCAGTGGATGAAGTCTCTTCTGATCCCCTCCTGCAGGTCTGTGCCAATTCGGGGCCAATACCAGGATGGATGAGTGTCCCAGAGTTCTGGGAGGTGCTAAGGGTGTCCCATTCCAGCTGGGCTCGGGCCTGAATTGTGGCGTGGGAGCCCGACCCTGGGGAACTTCCAGGAGACTGAGAATGTGCTCCTCGCTGCCCGCCACCACACCCGACCCCCAGCTTCAGCTCAGTGGGCTCGGGCCTGAATTGTGGCGTGGGAGCCCGACCCTGGGGAACTTCAGGAGACTGAGAATGTGCTCCTCGCTGCCCGCCACCACACCCGACCCCCAGCTTCAGCTCACCGCAAGCTTCATCTGGCTCATGTCCTCTTCCCATCTTATCCTCAGTTGTCACGAACAGAGGCTTTGTTTAAAATCTGATTGCTGGGGTGAGAGGTCAAGAGAGCTCCTCTCAGTGGGTTCACAGTCTAAGACACATCAACACGTAATCATAGGCAGGATTAAGCTCTAAGGGAAATGTAAAGCCAAGGACTCACATTCTTCCGTCTCAAGTCAGAGGCAATTGACATGACTGTTGGTGACAGTGCAGAGCCAAGTACAGAAATAAAGCCGAGATCCTGGAGGATTTCTGTGAGACCTCCAGGTTCGAATACATGGGGAGAGGAAATCAACTTTCACGGGAGACAGGAGAAGGCAGAATGTTTCATGCGTGCCCCGCTCTGTTTCCTTCTCCTCCACTTCTGCAAAGCCAATGCTTCCTCACCTTTTAAGGCCTCAGGATTCTGGGGAATTACTCGCACCCTCCCGGCCCCTTCCAGTATCAGTGAGGAGCCAAAGCTGCAGGCTGGGAAAGTCCAGGCAGAATCCAACCAAGCGTTTATTTGGTTTCATTTTGTTGGTGTGTGTTTGAAACTGTAGATGTCTGGGTCACACTTGTCAATATTTCCACCTCCCATGTCCAGACATTGCTAATGGATTGGGGGACCCTTTTCCATTGATCCCCAATATAAGTTCAGAATTGTTTTTTCTCATTTTTTAAAAATTGTGGCAAAATATACATAACATAAAATTTACCATCTTAACCATTTTAAGTGCACAGTTCAGTGGTGTTAGGCCCTGTCACATGGTTGTGCAGCCACCACCACCATCCCTCTCCAGAACACTTTCATCTCCCCCAGCTGAAACTGCACCCATTAATCAGTAACTCCCCATTCCCCAGGATCCTTTCTCAGACAACTCTTCACAAGCACTACCAGTCCATTCAGGTTGGCACAAGAAATGAAACCTTGGCCCCAGACCTAGGGAGGATGAAGAAAAAGAGCAGGGCCTGAAGAAACCAGCAGGGAGGGGTCAGAGATCTGCGGGCCTGGGAGGGAGGGTGCGCCCAGGGAGGACTCCCTGCCAGCTGCCAGCGCGGGCTGGGCCACATATCCTGTGTGGAGCTACAGGAAGGGTGGGGTGACCGCTCTGCCTCTCATTCAGTCTGAAGCACAGGGTTGGGTGATGCAGCTCACAACACACCTGCACTGATCTCTTTCCCTACAACCTCGTCCTGAGGGAGAGTAGAGTTTAAGTGGAGATAGATTCTGTGTTGAAGCTGCCTAAGGTTCTGGAGCTGCAGGTGGTGTGGGTGATAACATTTGGCCTTGTCTGATTTACAGGAATATTTTTAGTCATTTTCAGTTTTAAAGCCTAAAATGGCCATGGGAGGTTATCACTCCTTATGTTGCGCTCTGAATTCCTGGGATTTCACCTCGAGGTCACTGCAGTGCTGTATAGAAAGAAGAATGTGTTAGGAGGAGATTATTCTTAGAAAAGGGCAGTGCTCTGGTTGGAATGGAACTCGGTCCATGCCATCACAGCACAGGCGGCAGGCTCTGTGGGCTAGTGACGTGATGTGAAGGCCTCAGCCAGGTCAGCGTCACCCCCCCTGGCCTCACCATGGCTACTGGGCAATATTTTCTAATGGTTATTCAGAAGGATGAAACAGGCTCTGTGGGCTAGTGACGTGATGTGAAGGCCTCAGCCAGGTCAGCGTCACCCCCCCCTGGCCTCACCATGGCTACTGGGCAATATTTTCTAATGGTTATTCAGAAGGATGAAAGGACCAAGAAAAGCTGGTTCATCTAAAAATAGAAATTGGTAGCCATGTTTTCTATTTAGTTGTTTTGAGTTTTCCACCCAACTACAGCCCCCAAAGCTCTTCAAAACCAAAGAAGAATGTAGAGAGTGTTTGGGCAGAAGAATTTGTTACCTCCACTGTTACATCTTCAATTCTCAGTAACTATGTAAGGTTAAGCTTGACCTTGAGGAGGCTTTCTTTCCTGAAGCCCTAGCATTGGTCCAGGGGAGGTTCTTAAGCCACTCTAGACTAAAAAGTCAAGTATATTATTTCCCTGAACTCAGAAGAATGTAATGGTTTCACCTAAAAAGAAAAATGCATTGGCATGAACATTTACATGTTGAGTGGTATGGCTTTTTTGTTACTTCCTAGCCTTCCTTTTTGAAAACTTAATCTTGTATAGAAGTTAATTCAGTTCTCAGAAACCCTGAACCTATATAATTTGGATATGTTCTCAACGAGCAGCTGGCTGCAATGCCTTAGCCACATGATCCAAACGTCTGTAGCAGGACATTCTGCCAGAGAGTAAATTGAAGCTTTCTGCTTAAGTTTCACAGATTTATAAGATTAGATATCTACCTTTTTACAACTCTCAGATATATTCCTTATCTAAACAATTGAACCTTACTGCTAGTAAAGTATATGATTGTTTTAAAGTGAAATTTTAAAGAGGAAATCCATGCCTAACTTATGACTTAAGGACTTAATAGAGATTAGAAATTGAAAGAAACCTGGGAAGATGAGAAAATACAGGTATAAGGAGGAAAAGAGGTTTCCTGAGGCCACTAAGCTGGTTAGGGAGAGAGCTGCGACTGTATCTGTCTTCTGTAGCTGCCCTGACTGCTGTCCAAGCTTTCCTTCCTCCCTGCTGCTTCTAGCACTTTCCCTCTGCATATCTAACATTTCCTTACCAGTTTATTCCATCTCAAACTGTATGCAGAGACTCCAGTGACAGTGGACTTGCTGTCTGTCTTCAAGCCACCTCGGTATCAAAAGCCTTTGTAAGTTTATATCTTAGCTGCTTGCTATGTAAACCTTAGCTCTGGAAATCATTTCTCATTCAATTTTCCTTCCAATGAATCAAAGAGAAGGTTTCTCTTTCCATTCTTCACAATTTTCCAGCCTCTCCCTTCCATTATTTCATTTGACAAAAAAGCAAAGAAAACTCCCAACATGACACCATTAGGAAGGCAAAACTCTTTGTGGGTTATCTCCTGTCACGTGGGTACCATTTTATACTTTTCTACTTAAGTCGGGTAAATATCACTCTCTCTCCTTATTTGATAGCTAGTATTTCTCATTCTTTGAGTTCATAAACTCTTGTATGTGTTGCTTTCAATGATTATGTTTTCAACACATGTTAAATAATGAGTACAACTGACATTTTTGCAAAGAAGCTCTCTATCCTGAGTAGACTCTGCTGTTCATCTCCACTTCTTTCTCTCACCGTTCTCTGTGTCTCTCTCACTGAAGGAGCATGCGGTCCCACCGGGAGCAGATCGTTCTGGCACCATCCCTGGCTAGGGTTGACATGGCGATGACTCAGCTCACCCAGGAGAACACAGACTTTGCCACTCGGGATCGCTACCACCACTCCTCCCGCGTGAGTCGGGAGCAGCTGATGCCTCAGTACTAGAAGCAGCACGGGGTCCTCCTTTTTTGGAGCTGTCCTGTGCACATTGGACCCAAATCTGAAACCTTTGTGGAGCTGCTTCTCTTTAGTAAGAAACTCAGGCGCCCATCCTTCCCTGCTGCTTTGGACAGTGGAAATCTGCATTCTGGTCTGGAATACCGTGTCTGACCCAGGGTGACATTAGGAATGGCCTGGCCTCTGCAACACAGCATCCTGTCTGAAGAGCTCCACATGGGACACCATCAAATGTGGAGAACCAAAACCAGATGACTTGTTCTGAGGGCCACAATAAATGCTTATTTTAATTTTATCATTATTTATATTTTGAATAAATAATACACTCATATGGTTCCAAGCCCCAAGGTATAATCATATAGAGTGAAAATTCTCCCTCCCATACTTTTTCTCCATCTCTTCAGCTCCTGTCCCCCGGCCCAGAGGTAACCACTGTTCTCATGCATACTTTCAGCAGAATGTGAGTTTTCATCACGTTCTTTTTATACACAAAAGGTAACGTATTATACACATTTTCTGCACTTTGTTTTTTTCCTTAACAATCTATTTTGGAAACATTTCCATATCAGTCCATATAGAGTTTCCTCATTATGTTTCATTGTTTGAATGTGCTGTAATTTATTTCACCAGTTGAATAATAATGGACATTTGGATTCTTTCCAATCTTTTGCTATTACAATCAGTTCTGCAGTGAATAATCTTGTGCACATGTACAAGTGTAAAGTATATCTGTAGGATAAATTCCCAAAAGTGGAATTGCAGAATCAAAGGGTACAAGCATTTGTAAGCTATTATTGTTTAGTGAAGATCTTTTTAATTAAAAAGTTAACATCATGAATTGCCTAATGGCGACTCACGTTGTCAAAAGTATCTGTGGTCCCTGACTCTCTGAACACCTATGCAGCTGTTTTGTGGCATGAGTGGCATGAGGGAACAGGACTCTTTTGGTTCCTCTGTGAGCTCACCTGGCATTCAGCATAAGTGTCAGCACTGGGGGCAATGGTTTCCTCCAGATAAGCTCAGCACCTGGGCCAGGGTCAGTGGTTTTACCACTGAGCCATGGAGGGAAGTACTGTTGGGTCACATCTGACTTGTTCTATAGTAGATGTTCTCATGAGACTGTGCGCTAAGAATCACCTGAAATGCTTGTTAAGAGTGCAGATTTCTCCACCTCACATATAGATTTTTTTACTTGATAAGTTTGGGTGGAGTTCTGGCCTTTCACAAGTGCCTGAGGTGAGTCAATGCAGGCAGTCCTTGGACCATGTTGAGAAAAACTGGCCTGTTGGAAGGAAGGGACTCAGAGGGGGTGAGGGCTGGGAAGGTCATGGTGAGGGGCCAGCTAGATTGTAATATTCTCTCCTGGAAGATAAAATCTCATTATGATTACTGTTCACAAATTCTAGCTTTGGTTAAATACCAGATTTCTGAGCATCATTAGAAGAAAGAAAGCAACCTTTGAGTTAGCAATAGGCACATGGGGAATAGAAACACCATAAAAGGAAGACTTCATGAAGGGATGAGTTGGATGATCTCTAAGGGCCCTTTTTAAGAAGAAGCTTAAAAAGTAGTTTCCTGTGGCTACTACAGCAAATTACACAAACCGGGTGGCTTAGAAACAACAAGTTTATTCTCTTGCAGTTCTGGAGACCAGAAGTCTGAAATCAGTATCACTGGGCTAAATCGACATGTCAGCAGGGCCAACCTCCCTTGAGAGGCTCTGGAGGAATTCATTCCTTGCCTGGGTGGCTTAGAAACAACAAGTTTATTCTCTTGCAGTTCTGGAGACCAGAAGTCTGAAATCAGTATCACTGGGCTAAAATCGACATGTCAGCAGGGCCAACCTCCCTTGAGAGGCTCTGGAGGAATTCATTCCTTGCCTTTTACAGCTTCTGGTGGCTGCCAGCATTCCTTGACTTGTGATCACATCACTCCAGTAGTAAGTACAAGTTGTCAGAAAGATGAAAGATACACGTCACTGGGTCATTCACACAGCATTTACTTATCTGAAGGGTGCCCAGAAAATGTCAGTATAGACAGTATATATGGCAGTGAGACTAGCAACACTTTCTAAGGGGCAGATTCCTAGCCTAAAAGTTTTACCAAGGAGTGCACACTTCTAGGTGATAATGTCTGAATGAATGAAAGTGTATTGGACCTTCTGGGACCATGGATATCCACCTTCAGGCCAAGTTTTTTATCGATTGATCCGTCCAATGATTCATCCACTCATCTACCCACTCACCCAGTGATCCACGCATATATCTACCCATCTACTCACCCATTGATCTGCCCATCTGCCCATCCACCCATCCATAAGTCCATCCATCCACCCATCCATCCATGGCTGGAGCAACTGTACACACAACTTTGTAGACAGGTGCCTGAAACCACCCCACCTCACCAATCTCAGAGCTTTATGATGCAGAAATATAATCACAGGCCATTCAGGTATAAAGGAACTCCTCAGCCACTGCCCTCAGACTTTCAGGGTGAACATCACCCAATCCCAGAGCATTCTTAAGCTCAGGGCTGGGACCAGAACAGAGGTCATTTTCTCAGGTGTCCCTGAGAGTCATGCTAACAAGTCCTCCAATCTATACAACAGGGTGCATCCTGCACAAACAATTATAAACCAGTGTGGGAGTTTGAGGTTCAGGATCCCATCATTCTTCCTTCTTTCTAGGTTTCTGACTGAGGGAGTATGTTTAAGGATGGAAAGTGTGCCATTTTATGTATTAATACCAAGACAAGGGTGCAAATCTTTTGTTAAGACCTGTAGTGGAAAATGCAACTTAGGTCAGAAGCATGAGACAAGTCCTCAAGCGTCTAATTTTCTTCCTTCTGAGATTTCATAGGCCCTAAAGACCCTTGGATGAGGAGCTGGAACCAAGACAGAGAATAACCAGCTGGCCTGGTTACCCAGTAATAGATGGGCAGAGATCGTGTGGTGTCACACCTTACCTTTCAGCTCGGGGCCCTGCCTACCAATGCAGCGTGGCCCAAGTTCCAGCCAATTAGATTGGACTCTCTCCTCCATGGAGAGGAGCGAATACAGGATGACAGGGTGGGGAGGAGGCAGATGTGTTCCCTCTGTCTCTGTCAAAGGGAATTTGGGTGGTAGCTCCGTCCTTTGCATGGGCAGAGGAGGAGAGTTGAGAACTGAAGAAGGGGCCCCAGGAGCAGTGAGGGCAGTGACGGAGGCAGACGCAGGGTCTGTGGCTGGGCAGGGGAGCCCCTAACCCACTCTGATGGTGGTCGGGGAGGGTTACCTGAAGGAGGAGATAAATGACTTGTACCCATGCACTCAGTCGGGCAGAGAGGAGGGCCAGGGCATTCCAAACCAAGGGGACCGTGTGCTCAGATGCAAGGAGAGGAGAAATGGTGAGTGGGTGCTGGGGGTGATTCAGGATTTCAGGAGCACACAGGATGAGGCAGCAGGAGGCAAGAGAAGTAGGGAAAGGTGTGCAAGGTTGGGTCCTGAAGGGGCGTGTCCACCACCCTGTGTGCTGGGAGAATGGGGAGAGAACCCTGAAGAATGAGAGTAAAAATCCATCCTCACCACTTTCTAGGGCTTTATTTAAAAGGTAAATTCACATGGTATAGGCTCAGGAGGAATCCAGCTTCAGATCTGCTCTCCGCCTTATGGGTGCTTCTGCTCTCCTGGCCACGCTGGAGTGTGCAGAGGGAGGGCCAGTGGAGATTAGACAAGTGGGAGCAGAGGCTGAGGAACCAGCCAGACCTCTGGAGGGGCCGCGACTGGCATCTGCGGTTCCCAGAGTCCCCACTGTATGCTAAACACTGACTACTGAAGCCCGTGGGAGTGGGTTGGGGGGTGCCGTGCAGGCAGGAACAAAGCCAAGAAAACACGCAGTCCTGAGGCATCACTTTCCTATGCCACTGTGACACATCACACACATTCAGTGGCTTAAACAGCATAATGTGTTTTATTATAGTTCTAGAGGCCAGAAGTCTGAAATGGGTCTCACTGGACTAAAATCAAGGTGTTTGCAGGGCTGCTTCTGGAGGCTGTAGGGGAGAATCGGTCTCCTTCTTCCAGCTTCTAGAGGCTATGTGAGTAACATTCTTTGGCCATGGCCCCTCCCATCTTCAAAGCCAGCAGTCAGTCGTCAACGTTTACCCCACCCTCTGCTCCTGCCCTCACATCTCCTTCTTTGACTTTCCTGCCTCCCTCTTCTGCTTTTAAGGACCCTTGTGAATAGATCAAGCCCACCAGGATAATTCAGCATAATTTTCCACCTCAAGATCCTTAACCTAATCACATCTGCACAGTCCCTTTTGCCATGTAAGTGACGTGCTCACGGTCCTGGCTGTCTTTGTAGGGGCCCCATTCTGCCTACCACACCTGAGTTGTGGGCTGAGGAACTGGGGGAGGCATGGAGCTGCACACAGGAAGTGGCTGGAGCCTGACTACAGAGCATCCAGCACGCAGCCAAGTAACATGCTGCAAGATGAAGTCACCAGTGTTGAGGAGACACTGGGTGAAGAAGAAATCCAGGAGACTTCTTGGGGGAAGTGGGTTTGGAACCAGTTTGGTTAGGGAATATGGCAGGCTTCTGAACCAAGAGAAAGAAGTGTGCAAAGACAAAAGAGGCAGGAGGACCCAAGCAAAAGAAAGCATTACAGGGGCCACTCAGCTCCTGGCTGAGGCTCCCCAAAATTGTTACCTAACTCACAGGTCCTGCTGCCTGCCCCCAGACAAAAAATAAACACAAAAGTCAAACATTGGCAAAAATGGAAGTCAGTCATTCAGGAATACCAGTGACCTGAGGAGAGATGTTAGGCTAACCCATCTGTCCCATAAACCTAAAGGAGAATGGTCAGACTAAAGCCATCTCAAAGACTCAGGCTTACTGAGGGGTTTTTAAAGAGGGGGCTGAAGAAATAGAACATGGGAAATAGAAAGCAGAAAGGGGAGCATGTGCACAGTGAGGGCTTCATTCAGGGTCTCAGGTGCAGGGTCTCGCCAAGGCTCCATCTGGTTTCTGCTCCCATCCTCATCTCAGGGTCTGGGTAGTACGTGTGAGTCTGCAGCTTCAGGCTGGCTGGAAAACAGCTTCACATTCATGTAAATAATATTATCTTGCCCCATAACTAAGGTTCAAAATGTCAAATAACCATGGGAAAAGAGGGAATTCAGAGAAATGCATGCCAAGAAAAAACTGTCTTTTTAAAATTTGCCTACAGCCTATGCAGTTTCAAGTCCCAACATGGCTTCAGTCCTGCTCACTCCAACAAAAGCAGGCTTACCTTCAGCCTAACAGCTTTTCTTCCTACCTTTTACTTTTAAGGGGTGTTTCAGTCCGTTTTGTGTTGCTATAACAGAGATACCTGAGACTGGGTAACTTATAAGGAAAAGAGGTTTATTTGGCTTACGATTCTGGGACAGCTGCATCTAGTGTGGGCCTCAGGCTGCTTCTACTCATGGCGGAAAGTGGCAGGCAGCCGGCGGGTACAAGCAGATCACATGGCAAGAGGAAGCGAGAGAGAGAGAGAGAGAGAGAGAGAGAGAGAGAGAGAGAGAAGGTGCCAGCTCTCGCGGAAACTAATCCAGCGAGAACTCACTCATTAATCCCCCCTCCCCCAGGGAGAGCATTAATCCATTCATGAGGGATCTACCCCCATGACTCAATCAGTTTCCAACACTGCCACATTGGAGAACAAATTTCCACATGAGTTTTGGAGGGGACAACACATCCAAACTCCATCAAGGGGGCTCACTTGAGAGGGAGTTTGGTGCAGCTGCACATTCATGGCATTTGAGGAAGAAAAATCTGTTTGAACCCTGGCTCTACCACCTACGAGCTCTGTGACCTT